AATGTATCAGGCCTGAACATTTGTCCAGGTCCAAAGTCTGTCCGAAAACGAGTAAAGGTCCAAACGTCTGGCAAAAAAACGAGTAAAGGTCCAAACGTTTAATGTATCAGGCTTGAACATCTGTCCAGGTCCAAAGTCTGTCCGAAAACGAGTAAAGGTCCAAACGGCTGGCCAAAAGCGAGTAAAGGTCCAAACGTTTTTCTGAAAACGAGTAACGGTCCAAACTGAATTAGAGGCTCAGCCTCTGGGCCTGATTCCGGCCCTGGTCCTAGCTGTGTACCTGGCCACAAAGCGGACAACAGCACATTAGTAAAAACACATTAGTAAATAAATAAATAAGAAATTAACTTAAAGTTGAACTCTTTCCGATGCAGGCCTAAGTGAAATGGCCGTAGGGCCTCCAGGTTGCGGTGACGCGACCTGGGGGCCCTTATCCAACCTCGAGTCCCGTGAGGGGCCCGTGTGGAGGCTCTCAGCATGTAACACCAACTCTCTGTTCGTCACTCACCCAACTCTGCTGTTCACACACAGGATCACCCTGGATATCCCACACGCAACTCATTGTACACACATGCACACACATGCTACACTCATCTCCCAGCTATGGCGGCTATGGCCGCTACTACCTCTACCGCTATGGCTAAGCTCTCCTTTGGCCCACTTCGTCTTCGGGCGTACTGCAGACCACCTCGCACAAGTCGCTGTGCTAGCGCTTCCGCATGGCTTACGCAGGAATGAATGAATGGCTGGGCGCTGCCTCTTGATCTATACTTCTGTAGCTCGTTGGTCTGCCCCTTTCCCATGCCCCTGGTGCACACAGTCCCACATGGTACTTGCTTGACTGGACTGAGACGACTGGGTACCACTGACTCAGCGCCGGTGGACTTCGCCACTTGCCCACTTGCCTCGGTCTACTGTGGGCAGTACCCGAAAGGCCACTTCTGGACCTTCCAGAAGACCGTGGACTTGGCCTTTCGGTACTGTAGCAGCTACGACCTTGACCCTTCAGGACTGTAGCAGCTACGACCTTGACCCTTCAGGACTGTAGCAGCTACGACCTTGACCCTTCAGGACTGTAGCAGCTACGACCTTAACCCTTCGGAGGAGCTACCGCTACGACTTCTAGAACTCACTGAGACTCCTATCCGACAGGTCTACAGATCGAACCCCTATAACCTACAGACCTACGACAACCTACCAACTGTGGGGAAAGACATAGGTCGTGGGTTCAACTCCTGGGGTCGACACAGATACTGTACACAGGTAGGGTAAGGACTAGGGATCGAGCCCTGGGATCTGCATCGGCTACTGCAAGGGTGGAATCCGTTTCACTCCGGCTGGCCTAAATTCGAGGTCCTCCGAGAATATCTCAGTTCAAGGTCGGACCTTTGCCTTTCTTATCTCTCTCATAGGCCCTAACTACGTCGGGAGCTGTTTCTAGAAGTTCAGTTCTTGTAAACCAGCGGTCGTCTTCCGGTTTCTGATATGCGAATCGGACCTTGTACTGTTTTTGTGGACGACCTCTGCCTCCTGTTCTGAATACATCCTCACCTACAATGCCCTCAATGTCATATCTCCCATCCATATCTGGAGGGATCATGGATCTTCTTGAGGGAAACTGTTGGCTTGTGACACACGGCAACAGTTTTGATGCATGAAATACGGGGTAGGTGTGGAGGTGTGTTGGGATCTCTACGACCCATCGTCTCCGCCCTTGACTTCTGGAACTGGCCATGGTCCCCTGTATGCTGGCGGTAACTTCTGCGAGATGTTCTCCTCAGGAGCAAACTCTTTGGACTTGACCCAGACTAAGTCGCCTACTTGGAACCGCGATGGGCGACGATGCTTGTTGGCTTGCTCTATCATTCTATGCTGGGCCTTCCTGGGGTTCTCGACGACTGTAGCTAACTCTTTCTCGTGTTGTATCGCAAACTCCCTGGTACCGGGTAGGAGCCTATGGATCTGGTCCTGGTTAAGTCCCTCAAACGGTCTGCGCGGTCTAAAGGACTTATGTAACTCGTTGGGAGTGCGACAAGTGGACAAGTGTACGCTGTTGTTATACGCACTAGCTACCTTGGGCAACATCTCGTCCCAATTGACTTAATCTGGTCTAATGTACATGCGCAGAACTTGTTGCAGGATCTTGTTCATCTGTTCAGTCTGACCGTTAGTCTCTGGATGACGGCCAGATGACATCAGCAACTTTGACCCATAAACTTTCATCAGTTCWTRYCAGTTCTGACTAGTGAACCGGGTATCTYTRTYGCTAACTATGGACAGCGGAATCCYGTGATCACTAACCCAATGGTMAAAAAACTTMTGAATTACTAAATCAGTGCGTGCCTCTGCGGGCAACGGAACAAAAACTGCATATTTACTAAACCTATCAACTATCACCATGACTTGGCTCTTGTCGTGCCTACTCTTGACTTGGGTATCCATAAAGTCAATGGACACAGAGTCTCCTGGCTGGTCAGGAATAGGCAAGGGTCTGAGAAGACCTAGAGGGGCACGCGTAGTAGTCTTGTTTCTCTGGCATACTTTGCAACTGCGGACATACTCTATGTAGTTGTTCTTCATTCCCAACCAAGTATATACACGCATCAGATTGGCTAAAGTCTTTTGCCAACGGAAGTATCCCTCTTTATCATGGCATTCCCCTAGGATCAGGCTACGGATTTCCTCACTGTTGGGAACGCACAAACGGTCTACTAGATTAGTCTTCTCAAATAACAACCCCTCTGTAGTGCGGTAATCTGCTTCAGTCTCTGGGGCCTCCTTAACTCTCCTGAGGAGGTCGCTATAAATAGGGTCCTGCGCATACGCCTGTCTTACTTTCTCTTGCAGGTCTGTCCCTATATCCAGATAGTGGACTATAGCTCCAAAGTAGTCCGATCTCCTACTTAGAGCATCCGCAACTACATTGTACTTGCCCTTAACCGGTTTGAGACCAAAGTCATACTGATCTATCTCAACGGCCCACCTAGTCAACTTAGGTGTCATTTTGGCCTGTGTCTTCAACCACCTAAGAGTCTCGTGGTCTGAATACACTTTGAAGTGCCTCCCAAGCAGGTAATGCTTCCAGTGCTCTAAGGCCTGCCTGAGAGCGTAGAGTTCTCTCTCGTAAGTCGAGGTAGCTACTTTTTCTGAGGGCATCCTCGTCGACATGAACTCTACGGTTCTGTAGCCATGGTCGTCGTCTTGCTGTAACACGACGCCTATACCATATTGACTCGTGTCCGTGGTGACGACAAATGGCAAAGACAGATCTGCTACTTTGAGGACAGGATACTCTATTAACGCGCGCTTTAACTTCTTTAGCGCAGACGTACAATCTTTATCCCACTGCCAGATTGCCTCTTTCTTGAGCAACCTGTGAAGGGGAGCGACGATAGTCGAGAAGTTCCTCACGGACTTCCTATAGTAGTTAGCTAAGCCTAGGAACGACCGCAACTCAGTCAACTTGTGGGGCGTCGGCCAATCTCTAATCGCTGCTATCTTGTTGTCATCAGGCTTAATGCCATCTCCGTCCAAAACGTGGCCCAAGTACAAGACTTGTGTCTTGGCCCACTCGCACTTCTTCGCACTTGAAGTCAGCCTCTCTTATCTCCTCCAAGACCTGCCTCAAATGACCCTGATGCTCTTGGAGGGTCTTACTGAATACTAATATATCATCTAGATAAACTACAACAAATTTGTCTAACCATGGCCTAAACAAATCGTTCATACAACGCTGGAACGTGGCAGGCGCATTGGTTAGTCCAAAGGGCATCACTATGAACTCATAGTGCCCATATCTAATCCGGAACGCAGTCTTGTACTGATCATCAAGATGGACCTCTATCTGATGATATTCGTACTTCAGATCGATCTTCAAAAAATATCTGCAGCCCTGCACTCGATTTAGGAGATCGTCTATCCTGGGCAGTGGCTCAGCGTTCTTTACTGTGATCGTGTCTAGACCCCTATAATCTATGCACATCTGCAACGCTCCTTCCTTTTGGGGGACAAACAAGACTGGTGCTCCAAAAGGAGATGAACTGGGCCTAATCCAACCCTTTCCGAGGAGCTCGTCCAACTGCTTGCGCAACTCCTCTAATTCCCTAGGGGACATCCTGTAAACTGCTCCCCTAGGAGTTCTACTGCCAGGCTCTATCTCTATACGATGCTGGATCGGCCGCGGCACTACTCCTGACGGCGGCTCTGCTAAATCTGTGAACTCTTCCAACAGCTTGGCAATAGCTGGATCTATGGGATTCTCTTCCTTAGGCTCAGTAACAGGCCTTACATAAGCTACGAAGACCTGCTCCTCTAACTGCTCCTTTTTAACTAATCGCGTGAACGTGGGAGCACTGAGACAGCAATGTGCCAAGGAGTTGTCTACTCCTGACACATGGAACAGGCGGGCCATCTTGACCTCGCCTGATGGACAAGGGAGCCTACACTCATGCTCTCTCAAATAGAGTGTGGCCCCTGCTGCCTCTCCCCAGTCCATGCCTAGGACTATGTCAAAAGGAAGGTCATCTTGTACGAGGAGAGTCAGGGATGGAGAACTCTCTCCACCTTCCCATCTTTCTCTAGGTGGAAATACGCCTGGACTCCCTCTACGTAGTCCTCAACAGGCATAGTGCGGTTGTCTGCGAGGACACTAACTATGGGGTCTTCCAATTTTTGGACTTTCAACCCTAGCCTTAGCTTCTTCAGCGCTCTACGGTTAATATAACTGTGAGTATCCCCTGAATCTATAAGGGCTCCTACTCTACTTCTGAAAACCTCTACATCAACTAAGACTAGCTGTCCCTTGCTATCCTTCTTCATTTTGGCTCAGGCAGGCATCCTCTCCTTCAACTCTTCTGCCACGCCTGTGAGGGAAGTGCTTAGAGAGACGCTAACACAAGCAGTCTCTGGACAGCTAACTAGGCACTGGTCTGCAACATCTGCCGAAGGCTCATGTGGTGTGGGAGTTTCCTGTTCGCACTCGCTCGCTTTCCAACATGACCTTGTAGTAAGGGCGGTTGCAACCCCTACCGGCGGCTGCCTTTTGACCCTTGGGCAGCCGATCGGGCCTCTCTGTACTTAGGACAAAATTTAATGATATGGGCTGGGTCACCGCAACATATGCACTGATCCTGGTCCATACGCTACTGCCATACTCGGTGATCCAGGCCCAGATCTTCCCAAGGCCGGCCTTGTGGCCAACCTGGGTGCCAACCTCCTCTCCTCTGAGGTGATCCTCCACCTCGTCGTTGCGGGGACCGACTAGGACCTTGACCCCTACCTCCCTTTTGGTGGTTCCTTTGGCCGCCAACCCCCTGCGCGCCCGGTCCTCGACCACCCGTGGCCTGGCCCCTTTGGCCCTGGCCTCCTCCTCTACCTTGCGGCCTCCCTTCAGCCGCGACAGCAGCATAGGTCCTCCCCTGGCCTATACCACTGTCGTCCTCCTCTAGCCCCCTCTCAATGGGACTGTAGGGGACTTCATCAGTACCACCTTCATCCAAAGAAGGATCAAATGATCCTTGGCCTTGACCTGACCTGAGATGGTACGACCCTTCCACTTTTTACCTTTGTCTAAGTCCTTATGCCAGAAAGTGGACACTGACGTGGACTTTGCCTCATGCAGCACCACCTCTCTACTCAAAGCATCGTACGTCATGGTGGGCTGTTGACTCTTGTCAAAGAAATGCCCTCGTAAGGGCTTTGGCATGGCACGATAAAACAATTGGACCAACTGGGCCTCAGTGACCCCGTGGTCTGGGACGACTACGAAGTCGTCCATAACGGCTTTGAGTGCTCGCGCACACCTCCACTGTCGTGAGTGGATGGTCTGGAGTTTGTTTGAGGCCTTAACACCACGCCTCAGATCAGTGAATCGCTCTCGGAGGAGCTTGAAGAAATGGGGAAGGGAGGTGACTTTAGAATAGGCAACCATGTTGTTCTCACAACTGGCTGCGCGCTCTAGGGACCTGGCAAAATTGGCCGCGTCATCCTTCAGTGCATGGAAGGCTACGAGAACATGTTCTTCATGTACGATGTGCTGTAAATAAACATAGCTATTAACGCTAGCCTCCCAGTTATCAAAACTCTCTTCGGGCTTCCCGCCATACGCGTCTGGGAACTTGAGCTTAACTGGCTCTTTGCGGGGCCGCGCTTCAGCCTCTGCTGTGGCCACTACTTTGGCGCCTTCAATGGCGCTTGCAGAGAACTTCTCTGCGCCTTTAACTTCAGTCCCGATGTGGGTCACCACGTCACGCGCAAACTCTCTAAACCCAGTCCAGATGGCATGGAGGGTCACCTTTTGGCCCTTATTAGCCTGATACTGCTCAGTCCAGGCCTGTCCCAAAATCTTGAGATAACTCAAGATCTTATCTAATTTGGCCGGAATATCCTGCTGTGCTCCCACTTCTTGCTTACACGATTGTATCTTTTCCACTTTTCTGCCCATCCGGTTGGCCTCTTCCCTCCTCTTCTTCTCCCTTGCCAGCCGCAACTTCCACTCCAATCTCTTTTCATCCTCCAGCGTCTGGCGGTCCAGGGGATCTTCCATGGCTTCCAACTCCCTGGCTACGGCTTCTTTTTCCTCCTAAGGCACATACAATATTGCCTCTTCATCTTCCCCCAACGATAAATTAGCAACCCATTCACTGATCTTCTTCTCCACCCACGCATCTTCTTCCTTCGTGCCACTGCTTTCTCCTTTTTCTCCCCTACGCCTCCTTTCGAGGGGTTCTTCTTCTAATTCTTCCTCCTCTGCTGCTGCTTCTTCTTCGGCAACCCTCTTTTTCTCTTCCTCCTCCTGCTGTAATCTCATCATCTCCTCCTCCAATTTCTTTTTTTTCGTCGCCTGCTCCTTAGCTATCGCCTTCAACTTCGCCTGTTTGAGGAGCTCCATCTTCTCCTTCTTCTCCCTTCTCTCTCTCAAGATGGCGGCGATCCGTTCCTGTTCAGCTTCTGACTGTGGGGAAGTACTCTTACCACTACGTGTGTCAACCATGGTGTCAGGTGCACAACCGGACAACGGTTCCACTCCTCACCACTTAGACTCTACCCCCTGACTGACACGACCTACTGACTCAATCTATGGACACAGAATCCGGACAGGATCCTGTCAACTAGGGTCACTAGCCTGGACCTACTCTAAGGCTGTCACTAGAGGACTCACTGTTGATCAGAAGGCATTTAAGGAGATCCCCCGTAACTCCTCAGGAATTATTTAATGTCGCAAACAGGACGACGCGATCAGCAAGTCCTCTCAAGACTTAGACGGCCTGTTGTGCAGCCCACAGCTCGGATTTTGGGCCTACCGTGCCACACCGAGCAGCCCGCTGGTCAGTACCGGTCCTTGGGAGGGTCCGTGTCCTCCGGGACAGTCGAGTCGTTAGACACAGTCTTTAGCCCTACTCAGCCCGTGTGGGTTTGGTCAACAAGGCCCTATCTTTCATCCACAGATTTCCTACACCTGGACAGAAGAGACTCGATGCAGAAAGAAGAGACAGACATACTGGACTCAGCAAGTACCACAGGGTGTGTGCACATCCATAGGGCGAGGGGATAGGCTGAAGGCTTGGCGAGATTATACCGGCTCCAGCTTGGTCAACGCCTTGGTCAACACCGGTCAATACCTTGGTCAACCCCGGGTCAACTCCCGGGCAACTCCTCGTCCGGCTATGGCTGCCGCCTTCTTCTTCTTTCTCACCTTTCTCCTTCTTTCTTCCTCGCCTCCTTCTTCTTACACCCTGGCTGTCTTCTCTTTATTTTTTTTTATTTTTTTTTGTAATCTCTCCCTTCTTCTTCCTCCGCTTCAACTTCTCTCTTTCTCTTCGGCTATGGTTTCCCCTCTCTTCTCAGTCTCTCTTCTCACATCCTCCTTCGTTACTCCGTGGCCAAGCTCGACAGCTATGGCGGCCTCTTCACTTCGTTGGACTGCTTAACACTCTGCAACAGGTACGTGACAACCGATCTTGTCTCTCTCTCTCTCTCTCTCTCTCTCTCTCTCTCTCTCTCTCTCTCTCTCTCTCTCTCTCTCTCTCTCTCTCTCTCTCTCTC